GTCCCACACAGCCAGGAAGGCCCACCATAGAAGTCTGGGGCTGACGATTCTCTCCCAAAGCAGATGACACGATAGATACAGAGAGGGCTGTGGAACCAGAACGGTGGGCCAGTGGAAGGTGTGAGACGGGATACTTCAGGCAGGAACCTGGCCGGCTCTAAATCTAGGAGGTCCTTCCTCTAGGGAAATGACAAAAAAAAAAAAAAAAAAAAAAAAAAAAATTAAAGGAAGGAAACATAAGGAAGGTATCTTATAACTGCATTCTTTTGTTTGTTTGCTTGCTTGTTGTTTGAGACAGGGTTTCTCTGTGTAGCTTTGGCTGTCCTGGAACTCTCTCTGTAGACCAGGCTGTCCTCAAACTCACAGTAATATGCTTGTCTCTGCCTCCCGAGTGCCGGGCCTAAAGGCATGCACTATTGTCGCCTGGCTCATAATTGCATTCTTAGCTCAGATTTTTGTACTATTTTTTTTTTAGACTTGTTTTCAGAAAAAACTAACCAACCAACAAAAAACCAGCAGCAGATGGAAGGAAGAGGATTCAGGACTAGTACACAGAAAAAGGCAGCAGGATAGGCTCCAGACGGCCAGGTTCTCCCTGGGAATCTGCAGGCGATCCTAGGAGAAGGGCCCTGAGCTTCAGGCACGTTTCTGAGGGGATACCTGCAGTGAGAACTCCAGGAGAGTAAGGACTGCACAGTGCAGAGTTCAAAGGCCGGGCTGTGTGGGGCGCAAGGTGAATGATGACACTTACATGCTTACCGCCGTGTTTCTTCCAAACAAAGTTTTGGCAGGGTGATCAGGAACTGTGAAAGAAACTTTTGCTCAACTTGGCTCCCCAAGCTCAGAGCTTTAGAAAAAAACGTTACCAACAGATTTCCTTTTCTGCTACAAAATGTCTGGAAAGCTTGAAGTTCATTTCATAACGGTATATTTTAGAATTTTCTTTTCACACCTTTTGAGGAAGACATTTAGCTGGGTGTGGTGGCACACACCTTTAATCCAGCACTGGGGAGGCAGAGGCAGGATGATTTCTGTGAGTTCAAGGCCAGCCTGGTCTACATAGCAAGTTCCAAACCAACAAAGGCTACATAGAAAGGCTACCCTGTCTCAGGCTGGAAAGATGGCTCAGCAGTTAAGAGCACTGTCTGCTCTTCCAGAGGGTCTTGAGTTCAATTCGCAGCAACCAGATGGTGGCTCACAGCCACCTATAATGTGATCTGATGCACTCTTCACTTGGAGGTGTGCATGTGGATAGAAAACTCATATACATTAAATAAATACTCTTTGAAAAAAAAAAAAAGACCCCATCTCAAAACAACAACAAAACTATTTTAGTCTCTTATGTAAAAGGCAAACAAGGACTTTTGTACTATGTTGTACTTTTGAACACAATTTTATTTGCATACCCTTCATATAGGAAGGCCTGTATTGGGGGTGGACATTACTGTGGGATTAGTAACTTTCAGGGGAGTTATGTTTCCTTGATTTTTTTTCATGTTATATGTGGTTTTGCTTTGGGACTTGCACTCTAGGAGTTTGGTCATTGGTTGATTATTTTTTTAATTAATCATTCACGGGCTAACAGTACTTGCTGCTCTGGCACTTCCCAGTACCATGTGGGGCGGCTGATAACTGCCTGCCACTTGAGCTTCAGGAGATCTGATGCCCTCTTCTGGGCCTCCTCAGGCACACAGGGCACTCGAGTATGTACACGTGCACACATACGAACACACACACACCCCCACAACCACACCCCCCCCCCCCAATCCATCCTCAGACTTCCCAGTTAGGTGCTTGGCCTTCAGCTGCTTCTAATCCTGGGTCTTTCCATCCATTCAGTGTTTTCAGGTATATGATGAGCCTTTTAAATGGTGTTTTATTTTGTGCTGATATTTAAATGACCGTTTCTGGTAGTTCCCACTTTACCTGTTCTTTGATTTTGCTTTGATTTGCCTCATCCTTGGGAACACCGCTTGCTCGACTTCCTTCTGCAGACCAGGTCTCTTACATTCAGTTAGACATGGATCAGGGCCAAAGGCACAGGGTCTTCCAGGAGATTTTTTTCCTTAATTTTGTTCATATTGTGTGTGTGCGTGTGCATGCAGGTGTGTGTTCCACAGCGTGCCTGTGGAGGTCTCTCCTTCACGGTCGTGGGCCCGAGGGAGCAGAGAAGTTGTTAGGCAGCAGCTGCCTTTACTCACTGAACCCTCTCAGCAGCATACAATATATTCTTGATAAGAATAAACGGGGGTGGGGGAGGCCGCAGAGGTGGTTCACAGCCAGGGCAGAACTCAGAAACTGTCACCAAATCTGACTTAACTGAGATTAGGAGATCTGTCTTTGCAAATATCTTTTCTCTTAATACTCGAATTCAACTGCCTGAGTTTAAATAGTATAAAAACAACGATAAAAATTTTACCAGGAGTGGGCATTGGAGTTGATTTTAAATTTCTCCTTTAATCCATTCAACTCTCTTGGCATTAGAAAAGCACTTCATTCCTGAATTCTGAGGAAGGTTGGGGCAAATTTAACCATTAAAAATATGGATTTTTAGCTGGAGTGGTGGTGCATGCCTGTAATCCCAGCACTCTGGGAGGCAGAGGCAGGAGAATCTTTGTGAGTTCGAGGCCAGTCTAGTCAAAAAGCGAGTCCAGGCAGCCAAGGCTACACAGAGAAACCCAGTCTCAAAAACAAGACAAAACAAAACAAAACAAAACAAAACAAAACAAAACACCAACCGACCAGCCAAACAAACAAACCACTATGGATTTTGGACATGTGCAAGATTGTCCAGGAGTGAGTAGCACCCTCTGGTGGACAGTTTTGGAACCATCCTGCTCCGTGATGGGAGCACTGGAACAAGCTGGGGAGATAACCAGGAACATTCCTCTTCCGAAATCTCTGCCCAGCAGTATTTCTGGTGGTAGCAAGCAAGAAGCCATATTTTAGTGGGTGCAGGATATAGACCCAATAGTGGTGGGTTGTATGGACTATTATTTTTCTGCTTATTCCAAATACGAATGCCGTAAGAGTGGGAGAATCAGAAAAAACACTTTCTGGGGCTGGAGAGATGGCTCAAAGGTTAAGAGCACTGGCTGCTCTTCCAGAGGCTCTGAGTTCAATTCCCAGCAACCACATGGTGGCTCATAACTATCTGCAATGAGATATGATGCTCTCTTCTGGTGTGCAGGCAGAATAATAAATAAATAATAAATATATCTTAAAAAAAGAAAGAAGAAAAAAAACTTTCTTACTGTGGTAACAAGTGAGTTATGTGGAACCACAGGGAAATCTTCTCCTTAAGTGGATGGGTTTCAGAAACAGTAAGGGGAAAACCTATATTAACCTTTTTTCTTTCCTCCTCCTTTGAGACAAGATAGTACCATTTAGCCCAGGATAGCTTCAGTATCTAGATCCTCTATTTTTATATCTTGAATGCTAGGATTATAGGCATGCACACCACACACAACTCTTAGAATTTACCTCTTAATAAAAAGTAGGCATATGTTGAGAAGGCCAAAGAGAGATTACATTAATACAAGTCTGGATAAATTAAATAATAGAGCCAACCATAAAATTGATATTGTTTTTATACTATAAACCATGACTCTCTTACCATTAGGCCACTGAGTTATCAGTCTGTTTGCAACGAGGTACACATTATAAAAGTGACCAAGAAGTTCAAGGCACTGTTCAAATTAGTTTTCTAAAAATACAGTAATAGCAAGTCAGGCCTGGCAGCTCATGCCTTACTCCCAGCATTCAGGAGGCAGGGGCAATAAGACTGCTACAAGTTGACAGGCCTGGTGGTGTACGCCTATAATCCCAGCACTCAGGGAGGCAGAGGCAGGCGGAGCTCTGTGAGTTCCAGGCCAGACCGGTCTACAAAGCAAGTCCAGGATAGCCAAGGCTGCACAGAGAAACCCTGTCTCAAAAAACACTCCCAAACCACCACCACCACAACAAACCAAAAGATCACTACAACTTTAAGGCTAACTTGGACTACACAGTAACTCTAGAGCAGCCAGGGCTACAATGTGAGACCCTGTCTCAACAAAACAAAACAACTAAATGCACATCCAAACAGTAAAAATATATGCACTTCAATTTTTTTCTCCACGTTGAATTTTTTTTTTTTTTTTGGAGACAGGGTTCTACTGCTGTGAAGAGACGCCATGACCAAGGCAACTCTTATACAAGAAGGTGTTAAATGGGACTTGCTCACAGTTTCCCAGGTTTAGGCCCTTATCAAGGCAACAGGCAAGGAAAGCATGGCACTGGAGAAGTAGCTGAGCACTACTCCCTGATCCGTAGGCGGAGCCAGAGCTGGGCTGGGTGTGGGCTTCTGAAAACCTTGAACCTGCTTCCAGAAACACACTTCTTACAGCAAGACCATATCTCTTAAACCTTCTAATCTTATCAAAGAGTCCCGTACCCTAACAACTAAGCATTCAAATATTTGAGCTTTTGGGAGCCATTCTTATTTAAACCACCACAGTGAGTGTACTTCAAATCTGCAAAATGTAATTATTAATAGAAACTTCCCATACTGGAAACAGTATTTGTATTTGGCTCATTCTGAATTGGTTTGAAATAATTTGGGCTAATAGGGTCCATGTCGATACTAGACAATTTTAATTGTATTCCTTCTGGGTATCTAAACACTATCAACTCTTAACTTGGAATACAGACCGATCCCCAATTGCTGGATATGTGGGATATACTTGTCATGGTCGAGAAGGCGGCGTGTGGCTATTCCTGCGCGTGGACTCGGCCACTACGGGCGGCTAGGCGCGCCTCTGATAGACAGACATCCACCTCCGCCCCCGAACACACAAAGCTGCTTCCCGCGGCCGAGGCCCGGCAGCCCACCGGAAGCCGCGCGAAGCTGAGGCGTCCTCCTCGCCTAGCAACACGCGGGGCAGGAAGTGGCTGCGGCGCCACGCCCCCCGCGCCTGCGCACAGGCGCTGCCTGCTGACGTGGACCGGCAGCGGGGCGAGCCCGCACCGAGGAGCGCTGTGGCCGCGGTGGTGGCCGAGCAGGCGGGGATGGCGGCGGGGCTCGCTGCGCGCGCGGTGCCCGGGGCTGCCGGCCGGCGCCTGGGGCTGCTGCTGGCGCCGCTGCTGCTGGCCCCGCTGCTGGCGCGGCCCGCCGAGGCGCTGGTGGAGGGGCTGTACTGCGGCAGGCGCGACTGCTACGAGGTGCTGGGCGTCAGCCGCTCGGCCGGCAAGGCGGAGATCGCGCGGGCCTACCGCCAGCTGGCCCGGCGCTACCACCCCGACCGCTATCGGCCCGAGCCGGGCGACGGCCCCGGGGACGCGCCGCCGAGCGCCGAGGCTTTTCTGCTAGTGGCGACCGCCTACGAGACGCTCAAGGTGAGGCCCGCGGGTGACTGGGGTCTCCCACCCGGGTGACCAGGCTCTCCGTGACCCCGGCACAGTGACGCTGCCGCCGCCTGGACCTTTTAGGAGGTCCACGTTTCCCACGTGGCCGTGAGAAAGAACTGCTTCGGCCCCGTAGCCAGCATGGCCACCTCGAGGATAGTCTCGGAGGACAGCCAGTTCTCTCTTTGGAGAGTTGTTATGCAAAGCATTCTGATAACTTGAGGTTCATTCTCGGAAAGCAGGGTGATTGTGAATGCTCGGATCTGAGGTAGGGCAGAGGAAAGAGAGGTCTGAAATACTGAATAATAACTTGATCGTGCCAGTTTGATAGAGCAGAAGTTTGGTTTCTGGAATGATGACATTTAGCTTAGGTCTAAAGAACTAGAAAAAACAAACAAACAAACAAACACAGTAAACTCTCAGTACAAAAACTAGAACTATGATTTTTGGTTCTGACACCTCCCAAGTGACCTTGGATAGTTATTTCTTCATATCCGTTTAATGACTTGGGGCAGAAGATTGAGAATTATTAATAGTTTTTTTTGGGGGGGGGTTGTGTTTAGTGATTTGACAAAGGTTTTATTGTTCTGTGGCTGTAGGGAGATTCAGCCTGACACCCTTTTCTTCGGTTACTGTAGTATCTGTAAGAAATCACCTGTTACAGCGCAGGCTTGACCGAGGTGTTTCTGTTTCAAGAGCCCTATGGTGAGAATGCAACAGCAGTTGTAGCTGTGTATCTTTCACAGGTATTTGGTTTGTTTGTTTTCATTTTTCCAGTCTACTTTTAATGATGACTTTGAGTAGCTGTGTTATCATTTAACAGTGAGTTAGTCCTCCAGATTAGCTTTAAAGAGTTGAAAATACTAACTTAAGTTCCTTTTCGTTCAGGCTTGGAGCAGTTTGAAATGTGGAGCTATTAAGCGGGTATGCTTCACTTACTAAATTCTCGCTAGCTAGTGAGATTACAGTTTTTATTGGCACCTAATTGAGGTATGGGTGAGCACCTGGGAAAGGGCTGAAACTAGAGAGCTTAGTTTCAGAGGAAACTAAGGAAAAAAGTGACTGAGAGCGGCTTCAGGAAAAACCTGCTCCATCCAGAAGAGCCCAGCTGTTTGCTAAGGAATGAGGGTTCTCTGACGTTCAGGCTGCCCTGCTGATGTTCCAGAGGCTGGTGGCGCTCCAGGAACTCTGAGGAGGGGTCTTCCAGGAGAGAGTGCAGCAGAAGTGCTGGCAGCTGTTGCCTTCTCCTAGGTTTCTGTGTGGCAGGAGATTGGTGGGTAGGTTTGGTGTGGGAATGGTGAGCATGTTCTTAACTTTGAGAACAGGTGCCAAGGATAAAGTGTATAAGTAGTCAGAACAGATAACATTCTTCATGGAAGGATTCCTAGGACTTAGAACAGTTTTGCCATTTTCTTGGAAAGACTGTTTCAAAGGCCTAATCTGGTTGTTCTCAGTGGCTGCTTCTAAAGATTTCTACCCCTAATGTTTAGAACTGATTTATCAGCAAATAAAGAGTATATAAAATAATGTGTCCACTCAAGAACAAGGGGCTTCTAGGCCGTTAAAAACTAGTGTGTTGTCCAAACTAGGTAGCACATGGCTTTAATGACAGTCCTTAGGAGGCAGCGGCATGTAGATCTTTGAGTTTGAGGCCAGCCTGGTCTACAAAGCAAGTTCCAGGATAGTGGGGCTACATAGAGAAACCCTGTCTCAAAACAGATAGATAGATAGATAGATAGATAGATAGATAGATAGATAGATAGATAGATAGATACAAACAACAGAAAACCCACTAGTGTCTAGAAAAAGTAATGTTTTACTTGACTCTTGAAAATACCTCCTAACAGGGAACTAGAAATGAGGTGGCCCCTGGAGAAGGGACCCGGGAAATGATCTAGCCCCCCATCCCAAGCTGTACTACTGATGAGACTCAGTAGAACTCTGACAAGACAGTTTTAGAATTTAGAGGTGAATGTGGGTGCAGCTTCTTAATCGAGCATAGTGGGGCTCTCTGCTGCTCATTGTGTCGCCTTCCCATGGAAAAGGGCTTTACATGCGGCTGGGTCGAAGACAGGTGGGTGGCCTGATGTGTACTTCTGTCATAATGGAGAACTGAGCAAGTTGCCCAAGAATACCATTTCTGTGTAATGAAAAAATTAGTGAAGGATGCTATCCAATTTGGAGGGTCTGCTTATCTTCGTATTATCTCATGAGGCAGTGCAGGTGTAGTTACTATTTTTTTTATTATTATTATATCCTTAGTATAGAACAAGGATTTGTGAGGTAAGAAATCTAGATGAACTTCGCTAAGAGTTGGTCAGGTAGAAGAAATTGAGTTCCAAGGGCTTTGGAATAAAAATGGCACACAGAAGCCTATCCCTGAATGTTGATGATAAGTGCATCCTCAGTATGGGGGCTGTATTTGTATTAAGGTGCCAGTGGAGTTGTGATTCTGGGGTTGTTTTGCTCATATAAATGCCCTTTTGAGAGCAAGGTGAGCAAGGTAGGCTTTTTTTTTCTTTTTTTTTTTTTTTTTTTTAAATCTTATGATGATAGTAGTTAAAAATAAGTTCAGTAACAGGATTTAAATACAGTTAATGAGACAAGAAAGTAAGACACTTGGTCATTGCTAATTTAGCAACTGATCATTCTGCCTATGCATGAAGAGACTAAGGAAAACTCAGAAGAAGGGTGGGCAGGCAGTGGAGGGCAAAAGCTGTGCTCAGGTGCTTATGCAAAGTTACGCTTCTTTCTGTTAGCAAGTAATGCTCAGTTCTGGGTCACAATATGACTTGAGACCTTTGTGATTCGCACAGAGCTGCATGACTTAGGCTAACACAGTGGGGTTTTGCGTATTTGGCTATGGGGTTGAGGGAAGTCAGACTTCAGGAGGAAGCAGACTCCCTGGCTGTCAGTGCTGAGGCTCCGCGCTGGAACACTCTAGTCTGGCCGTGCGTCTTTGTGTGCTGTAGCACTTACCACACTGTGCTGTAACCTCAGTAGCCCTCTCTTTGCTACTGGATCAGGCCCTTGTCTATTGTGTGTATCCAGGGACCTAGCACAATGTCTGGCACATCAGATAGGGAATATTAATTCAGCTCTTGTTTGGAGACAGATTCAGGTAGAATGGAAGCTAAAAGTGAATTTCTGCCGTTTTGACAAGGTTATGTGCAGCCTACTTTTCTATTTTACCCAAATTGTGATTTTTTTTTAGAGTGGTACAAACAATATAAATTGGATGACTATGAATGAAACATTCCTGAATGAAAGAAAATTTCTTTCTACTTTTAATGTTTTAAGGGTTTTAAAATGAGCAAAAATAACATGTGAATATAGGTAACAATTAGATAAAATACAAGAAATGGCTCAGAGTAAGCAGATGCAGGAACAGCAAGAAAAGATTCAATTAGAAAAATTTTGATTGGTAAGAAATGAAAAAAGGTAGACTTTGACAACATTTCACAAGATCACAAGGACCTAGAAAAGGTCTTAGGAATATTGCTGGCATGAAGATTAGCTGATAAATTAGAATCGTGTAAAGAGATTAAGGCTGTCTTGGAAGCAAGGCTTCACAAGAACAATGCTTGCTTTTTTTTTTTTTTTTTTTTTTTTAAATCAGTGACTGAGATGGCAAAACTCCTAGCACTTAAAAAGAATTTGGCAAAAGGAGGATTTTGAACTTCCTGTTCTGTGCTATGGCTTATTGTTAGTTTCTTAGCATATTTTCTTATGCAGTCCTTTCCTGAGCACTGATGGAAGTTGCTAGGGAGGAGACAAAGGCAATGGAAGGTACAACTTTCTATTCCTTGTTTTGTTTTTTAACCCAAGAACTGAATTTTTTATGTACTAGGCAGGCATATACCCTGACAGTTTTTTTCTTTTTTTGAGACAGGGTCTCACTATGTAGTTCTGGCTGTCTTGGAATTCTTATGCAGACCAGGCTGGCCTTGAACTCACAGAGATTCTACTACCTCTGACACCTGAGAGCTGGGATTAAAGGCTCTGCCACCATACTAGCCTAGACATACATCTATTTATTTGTTTGTTTATGTTTGATTTGGTTTTCAGGCAGGGTCTTACATAGCCCAGACTAGCCAGTTTGATCTCTAGCACAGGAAAAACTTCATGTGGTAGCACAGACCTGTATCCCTAGCACCTGGGAAGTTAGACAGGAGGGTCAGCAGTTCAAGGTCATCCTTGACTACACCAGAACTAGCTTGTGCTACCTGAGCCCCTGCCTGTGTTGGTAACTACACACGTATATGCTTTTTCTTTGTTTTCTAGACAATACAGTGTGACAATTATTGCTTAGCATTTCCATTGTATTAGGTATTGTATTAGGATATAAGATATATGTAAATGTTATCTTATATAAGGGGTTGAAGAGCTCAGGATTTAACTATTTACTGTATTCCTGGAATCAAACTCCCTCACCCCTATTCATACTGAAGGATGACTCTCATGAAACATGTAAATATTTAATGTAGTTATGGTGATAATAAACAACCCTTTCGAGCAGTGGTTCTCAACCTTCCTAATGCTTCAGCTCTTCAGTGCAGTTCTTCATGTGGTGGTGACTACCCATCCTAAAAATACTTCTTTGCTACTTCATGACTCCAATTTTGCCTCTGTTAGGAGTCATAATGTGAATATCTGCTATGCGACCCCAGTGGGTCAGGACCCACGGGTTGAGAATCGCAGCTCTAGAACGTAGCCTGGAGATGGACTTAGCTTGGCATGCCTGCTTTGACAGCATGGCTACTTGCTGCAGTTGCAAGGACTGGGAGACATTCCATGTGGTGTGCTTGGTAGCGACTTTTCCCATTGGGTTCAGAGAGTATGACAGCATCTGTACTACATTTACTTTCAGCTATGAAACTACAACACAACTTTTTTTTTTTAAACTGATCTCTAATTTGGGTTGTTATTGTTCAGTATGTCTGAGGCTGGTTTTTACACCATATGCTTAATTCTGATGGTGTGACTATCTG